CTAAGAATGGCCAGACTAACGGACCATGGAACACGAAAAGGAAAATGAAGATATATCTATGTACGGGCGCTGCTATCGAAAGGAACATGTCGCTGACATTGCATGCCACATAGGCATACGTTCATTCAGACCATAACCCCTAGCCTTCAATTCTCAAATATTTAGACCACCATGGGACTTAAGACCCTCTTCCTGGTCCTCGCCGGCCTTACTTTCATCGCGCGCATCGTGAGCGAGAAATGGAGGCACCATCAGAATGCCAAGCGCCTGGGCTGCCGGCCAGCGCCCATGGCTCCAGCCAAGGACCCCCTCGCTATCGGCGATATTCTAGAGCTCATCCAGGCGGACAAGAACAAGGTGGTGCCTGAGCTCCTCGAGAGCCGCACTAACATCATGCGCGACAATGCCGGACGCTACGTTTCGACCTTCCGTCTCAAGAGAGGTCTGGGCGAGAACATGCTCACCTTTGACCCCGAGAACCTCCAGGCCATGTTGGCCAAGCAGTTCAAAGACTTTTCCGTTGGTGGTGAGAGACTGGGATGCATGGGCCCGTTGTTGGGCAAAGGAATCGTATGTTCTCATTATTCCTCGTGCTGTTCCGTTGCATGTAGATCCGGCCCAAACTGACGATCAGTGTGCATGCAGTTCATTAACGACGGCGCCGAGTGGTCGCACTCGCGTACAATGCTCCGGCCCCAGTTCACCCGGGATCAAATCAGCGACCTGCGTCTCGAAGAGCGCCACGTCCAGAACGCCATGCGGGCCATACCCGCCGCCGGAAGCAACGGCTGGACCGAGGTCGACATGCAAAGCATCTACTTCCGCCTGACCCTCGACTCCGCAACCGAGCTGCTCTTCGGCGAGAGCTGCTACTCCCAGCTGGCTGCCATGGGTGACGCCGAGGACAACATGGCCAGTGGCGTCAAGGTGACCGACTTTGGCAAGAACTTTGACCGCGCCCAGTGGTACATGGCACAGCGCCTACGTCTACCTCGCATGAAGTTCCTGTACGACAGTAAAGAGTTTCGAACCTGCTGCCAGGAAGTCCACCGTTTTGTTGACGAATGCATCGCCAAGGCCCTGCACGACCACAAGAAGAAGCAGCAGCCCGAGGAGGGCGAGTCCGAGCATTACATCTTTGTCTACGCCATGGCCGCAACCACCAAGGACCCGATCGAGCTGCGCTCCCAGCTGCTCAACGTCCTGCTTGCCGGCCGTGATACCACCGCCGCGCTGCTGAGCTGGACCACCCTGCTGCTCTCCCGCCACCCAGAAGTCTTCCGCAAGCTGCGAGAGGCCATCATCGCCGACTTCGGCACCTACGAGAACCCCCAAAACATCACCTTTGCCACCCTCAAGGCCTGCACGTACCTGCAGCAGGTTATGAGCGAGACGCTCCGCCTGTTCCCGCCCTTGCCTACCAACGCCCGCTACGCCACCAAGGACACCAGCCTGCCCCGCGGCGGCGGCCCCGACGGCCAGAGCCCTGTGTACATCAAGAAGGGCCAGGCCGTCCTGTACAACGTGCACATGTTGCACCGCCGCGAGGATGTCTGGGGCAAGGACTCGGGCGAGTTCAAGCCCGAGCGCTGGGAGGCCCGCCGCTCGGGCTGGGAGTATCTTCCCTTCAACGGTGGGCCGCGCATCTGCATTGGCCAGCAGTTCGCTCTCACCGAGGCTGGCTACGTCCTTGTTCGTATGCTCCAACGCTTCGACGAAATTGAGGATGTCAACGCCGGCCAGAGAATTAGGTGGGGCTTGACCCTGGTCAGCGCTCCTGGCGACACAGTCACGGTGCGCCTCCACGAGGCTAGCCGGTAAGAAAAGAGCAGGACTCTCCTTCGACACTCCTTCGACTCTTCTTCGACAAGTATACGACATTTCATTTTCAGCTTGTACAAATTGGCATACTTTCTATTGATGTTATATATCTCTTCTTGGATCTGCTGTCATTTTTGTAATAGTTATTCAGTACAGTGTAGGGCGGGTACTCTGGAACGGATAGGTTATCTGAGCGTTTTGACCATCACCCTAAACACTGTTGTCTATCTTAATACTGTATTCTATGCTTTCTTCGCTTGTATATACTGGGGTGGAAAAAATGAAAACTTCGGGTGATAACAGAACCTCATAGTACAGATCCAGCATGGGCAATTAGCCTTGTCTTATATCATCAAGAGAAGATAGATTACTCCAGTAGAGAGCATGAGTTGGCATTAAAACTCCATTTTTGTCTGATTTGGGGTATTCAGTCTATAGCACAAAAATCATTCAACTTTGCTATCAATGCATAAAAATCATGAAATCCTCCGCATAAAAACCCGCTACTTTACTTAAAATGCCCGAAAAAAACACGTGAATGCATAATAAACAAAAAACAAAAACATTAATACGGTGGTGGTGGCATCGTCTCCGTAGTGACACTGTGACCATATTCTTGGTCCAGCTTCGACGAAGCAGCAGCAAGAGTAGCGTCCGAAGGAAGGTTGACAATCATCAGGTATAAAATGTTCTGGAAAAAAGCCATGGTCAGTCAGAAAAACGATCGTCACCAAGTCAGAGAGAAGGTTAAACTTACGCTCTTGATGGATCGTTTGCCACCTTCCAGCTCCCTTCTCTTCTTGCGGAACACCTCCAGACGAGGCTCATAGTCCTTGTCCAACCGCCTCAACTCGCGATCTGTCTCGGATTGACTACGTCGGTCGTTCAAGATGCGCTCCTTCCGGTCGTTGTATTCGTCAAGGACTCTCCTCTCCTCTTGATCAATCCTGGCGGCCTTCTTCTGCGCACGCTGCTCTGGGGTAGGACTCAACACGCCGCCGGAAAGCACGCCAATCAGACCTCCGTTGACGGCCGGATGATTGGGGTCCAGGTACCGATTGCTGAAGCCACGACCTGCCGGCCCGCTTAGCGCGTCGTTGCCGTTCTCGGCCATGTACTTTGCGCGAGCGCGACGGTCGAGGTAGTCGTTGAAGTTGTCAAAGGCCTTCTTGGCCTTTTCTTTTGTTGAAACCTTGCCTCCGGCGGGGGGAACGACATCCCTCTCGGGGGCCGGTGAATCCGACGAAGGAGAATCAGACAGGTAGTTCTTGTGTTGGCGGCGGTTGTCCATGTAGACAAGCGGTGCGACGGCCGTAGGAAGACCACCAGGGCCCTGCGTCGAACCGGAAATGTGGTTACGCATATATGCGCTGCCGCCACCATTGCTCGAGCCGTTGACAGCCATTGAGGCGAGTTGCTTCAGACGGCTGGAATTCTTGGGCTCCTTGAGTTCCGGATCATGTTTCATAATCATGCAGAACAGACCGTTAGGAGCGAAAAGCTCGCGGTTGTACTTGTCCATGACATTGTTGGTCCTAAGTTGGGGGCTGATTAGCATTCATGGCTTGAGGGGAGAGGAGTCGTGTTGTGCACTTACTTTCCTCTGACGTAGCCCTTGTTGGCTACCCAGGCGCCTGCTTGCACTGCCGCGGCCACGCCCATGACGATGACCTCGGGGGTGAAGCCCACACCAAGAGACACGACTTGTACACCGGCGAGGTACTTGTTGCCCTCCAAGGCCGTGTTGGTCTCGTCGATAAAGCGCAGGAACGACCTTTGGTCGATGCCGCACGACTCTAGAGATGGCGCATAGGCGGCCATGAAGCCTCGCTCCTGAGACCCGGGGCGCTGCTGTGGGATCACGACGGGAAGAGGTAGTGGCCCTCCCATGGTGGCCATCCCGGCTTGTGAGTCGTATCGGGGGTCTGGGGTGGGTTGCCCTCCAAACATGGGGTTGGGACCCGGCTGAAGCTGTCCGTAAGGTGTTTGTCCATACTGTGGCTGGCCATACTGAGGTTGGCCATATTGGGGCTGGGTATATTGTTGCTGTCCGTAACGTGGTTGACCATATTGGGGTTGACCATATTGAGGTTGACCATATTGAGGTTGACCGTATTGCGATTGACCGTAATGAGGTTGTCCTGTTGGGGGAGGTCCATACTGAGGCTGTCCGTACTGAGCTTGATCGTATTGAGGAGGCGGGTGGTTAGGTGGGTCGTATCGTGTTTGTGGATGCATGCGATCCTGCTTATGCATGGGCAACTTCTCGGACTGCGCGTACATAATGTTGGAAATGATCCCCCTTGCTGGAGAATCGCGAGACACCAGTCAGTACTCGGTTGATCCTTGTGTCACGTCTGTGAGTCTGTGCTTGGCTTGCAGTGGCCCCCAAATCCTAGTGGATACAGCTGTTGATAGCGATACGAGGTAGGGGAAGAAATAGGTTTAGTCTCGCGAGGGAGTTGCGACCGGGGGGAATTGTAGGAGTGCAAAGAAGAAATTGAGATAAAGAGAGAGAATTGTCGATGATGGCCAAGAGATGGAGAATAAAAAGATGTAAGAAAGCTGAGAAAAAGCAATGATCCCTTCGGATCTGGTTCCTACATGGACAAGACGCCGGATCGACCATTGGCAGTGCATCTGACAGTGCCTAACATCCTGCATACCCGTTTGGGATAGGATTGCGGGATGATCTCCCGCTGTGTCCTATTTAGGTTAGCAAGGTGCAAGTGGCTTTCCGTTTGAAAATGTGGCTCCGGAGCTTGTTGTGTCTTTCTTTGTCGCTTTACTAGCGCCAGTGTGACAGCCCCGGGCATTGCCCCTTATTGAGGCAACTCTTGGCGCTGCGGCTTTGACTCTTGTCACCAACACAAGCATTTCACATTCCCGCATACTCGGCAGCCGTGCCGCCCTCCCCGTCCACTTTTGATCCCTGTCGACCGCAACGAACATGTGGCCCCCAAAAGAGCCGGCTTTCTATGCCCGACGCGGCAAACTGGTAATTCACCACGCCGGTGATGTTTGGTATGCTACTCCATCTGCGGCTGAATATGACACTCTAAGTGGGCTGTGCTGTACCAGGCCCCGACCGAACAAGGCGTGTCATCTATATTCATCGAAGTATATATATGAGCGCCGTGTTGGAAGCTTCAGACTCATCAATCAAGCAATCAATCAATCAACAAACCAATTCACACTCACCAGCCCACAAAGCCTCAATTCTACTTTCACTACATTTCCATCATCCTATACCCCCAAAGCCACTCACACATCAACACAATGGCCGCTCCCGCTTCCAAGACCATCTACGACCTTAACGGTTCCTGGACTGCTGTAAGAAACACCCAATAAACTCACCGACATCTATGCCACAAAGTCCTGTCCATATACTAAACATACCTACAGAACAACACCCTCTCCGAGTCCTCAGCCGACATCCTCAAAGTCCAGGGCGTGAACTGGCTGACCCGCAAGGTCATTGCCATGGCCCACGTGACTCTGATCATCAGCCAGAGCACGGACGAGACCGGCAACATCCACCTCGACATCGAGAACAAGCCCAGCGGCGGCCTCCCCGCCACCCAGGAGAAGCGTGTCCTGAACTGGGAGCCCGTGGAGCTCACCCACGGCCTCTTCGGCAACATCCGCGGTCGCTCCCGCATCTGCAAGCTCGCCGATCTCGACGACGACTACCTCCGCCAGGGTTGGGAGGACGGAACCGAGGAGGTCATGCACTTCAAGACTGAGCACCTCGACTCCAAGGGCGTCATCACCCAGCAGGTCGCTGGCTTCATTGTCATTGGCGGCACTCGCTACCACGCTCGGCGGGTCCTCGTCACCAAGGATGATGGTGAGAGGCTCGAGGCTAAGCTTGTTTATGACTACCAGGGTTAGATCGAGATTTAGATAACCCGGTGTGTATATGTATTGATGATTGTTCGACTGTGGGGGAGGGCTACATCAAAGGAGGTATAGTATACCAGCCTTGGAGCGATGTATATAGATCTGGTTTTTGTTCGTTTTCTCATTTGTACCTGACGATACCGTTATTACTTTGAAGCGAGGAAGAAATCTTTTGCCTAAATGAAGTCCCTTGCCAAATTCAATTTGAATTGCATTGTTTCTGCGTAATATTTGTCTGTCAAAAGTAGCTTGTATGTTTCAGTGATCACAAGTTGCTACACTAGGACAACTAAGTCTATGATACCAGTCAAGCGTTTGTACATGCCCTGAAAGATGAATGAATAAATCATGGCTGGCACAAATTGACACATTTTCGATCACCAGAAACGTCATACAAATCCTGTGCAATGCAAACATCGCGAACTGTAGTAGCCAAAAAATCGTAACTTGACTTTGCCTGGAAAAAAACGAGATATATTTGCATCCACTCTTATCTAAACCAACTTTTTTCTATTCAATTATGATGATTATCATTATCTGGAATCATTCAAGGATCTACCGTATATGTTGTAGTTTTATAGCTTACTGAATTACTTGAGCAATAAAGTGTTATTCTTGCGGAAAACGCAGAATTGAGATGATGAATTATGCTCAGTGTGGCTAAGACGTTGTTGTAGTGAAACTCGGAGATACTTTCTTGGAAGAAATGTTCAAGTCTTTATCGTTACGTAACCAAAAGAATTGGACAAATGTGAAAATATAAATGATATGATGCGATATCTCTAGCTTCAAAAATATTATACAAATTGTACTTCAAAGCATCGTAGAACCCGAGAGAAAAGGAAAACCATACGAGATATTACACTATAAGGAACTAAGGCAGCACTACAGAAGGGAGAGAAAATATTGTACCAAGTCTTTATTAAGGAGAAAGTAAAAGCTAATATAAAACACGACAATTTTAGACAGAGAGAAACAGAGAGAGTGATGAATGAGGACACAAAGCGAGGAAATAGGGAGAGTGATGAGTCAAGCTATACAAAGAGAGGAAAACACAGAGAGTGATGAGTAAAGGTATATACAAGAACAAACAAGTCAGGTAGAATGGTCAACCCTCTACCGCGACAGCGTAGCGAGACCCTTGCCCTCGGCATCTTGCAGGATCATGTTCATGGTGCTGAATTGGTAGCGGAAGCCGGCAATCTTAGCCTTACCGACCCAGACGTGGGCCGGGATCTTGGGCCGGCCGCTCTGGGCGTACTCGGGCAGCGAGTCCAGCCTCTCTACAACCTTTGCAATGTCCATGCGGACGGAGCTCAGATGCGAGTACTGCTTGACGTTGTCGCTGGAGATCTGGTTGTCGGTTGAGGTCAGGGCAGTGAAGGCATGGCCGACAATGTCGCGAGACAGACGGTCAGCGGGGATCAGGTCGTAGTGACCGCCCCAGGTGGTCGAGTCGGGCAACTCGGTCATGTTGGCGGCGACGTCGACGAACTCCTGGAGGATCTGGTCGAGCTCCTCACCTTGGGCCTCACGGCCCTCGGGAACGGGCAATTGGCGGTGGATGTGGACGGGCAGGCGCAGCTGGTCAGCGTACTTCTCGAGGAAGCGCTCGCTGGCCCACTTGGAGGCGACGTAGCCCTGGGAGCCGTCCGAAGCAGGCTCGATGGTAGCAGCCTCGCTACCAGAGAGGAAGTGGAAGGGTACAATGCGACGGTGGTCACGCAGGGAGGCGGCAGACATGAGAGCGAGCTCCTTGGTGGACTGGACGTTGATGGCCTGGACTTGGTCGTAGGTGCTGAAGAAGGAACGGTTGGCACCGCTGTGAATGATCATGTCGGCCTGCTGGGCGAGATCGGCGAAGTCGGTTTCGGACAGACCGAGGCGAGGAGCACTCAGATCACCCCCGTGTACGGAGATCTTGGAAGAGGAGGCGACAACGGCATTGAACTTCTGGCGGTGAGGCAGCTCGTCAGACAGGGGACGGTGAGCAATGCAGTGGACGCGGCCAATCTTGGGGTCCTGGATAAGGCGTTCCAAGATGTGACGACCAATGAACCCAGAGGCACCGGTGAGGATGACAGTCAGCGGCTGAGCGTTCTTGCGGGTGGTGGAGGAGGTGTCAGCGGGAGAGATGTGGAGCATCTCATCGGTGAGGGCAGTCTCGAGGTCCCAGTTGATGCGAGAGTTGGCCAAGAACTCATCGAGAAGGGCGCCCAGAGCCGATAGCTTGCTGGACTCGATCACCTTGTGGAGAGGAACGACGATGCCAAAAGCCTCGCGAATCCGAGACTGGAGACGGACAGTAAGCAAGGAGTTACCTCCAAGCTGGAAGAAGTCTTGGTTCAAGTTAATGGCCACACCATCCATAACGGACTGGGGCAGGATCTCCTGCCACAGCTCCCAGATCGCCTTCTCGGTGTCGGTGACCTCAGTAGAGATCTCGGCAGCATCGACCTGGGGGTGGACTGGAATAGTGGCAATAGCCAGTCTGTTGACCTTTCCGTGGGAGTTCAGGGGAATGCGGTCAAGCGGGATGAGCATGTTGGGCTTCATGTACTGGGGCAGGGGCACCTTGTTGAGTAGCTGAGCGAGGTAAGTCTTCTGCTGGTCGGTCGGGTAGCCGTCAGCAAACTCGACGAAGCCGACCAGGTAGCTCTCGTGACCCTCGCCGCGCACGTTGGCAACGACGCGAGACAGGACGCCATTGGAGGCGCGGACAATGGTGGCTTCGATGTCCTCGAGCTCGATACGGAAACCGCGAAGCTTGATCTGGGTGTCACCAGTGATGCGGCCAAGGACAACGAGGGTGCCGTCATCCATGAGATAACCCTTGTCACCGGTGCGGTAGGCGCGGTTCCAGCCCTTGGAAATGTGAACAGAGGAGGCATTCTTGTCCTCGATGAACTTCTCGTTGGTCAGGTCGGTGCGCTTGTAGTAGCCAACGGCGGTACCGGCACCGCCAATGAGGATCTCGCCCTGGACGCCGGTGGGGACAACATCAAGCTGCTTGTCCACGATGTAGAAAGAGTAGTTGGGAAGAGCAGGACCGGCTGGGATGAGAGTAGACTCGGAAGGATAGTCAATGGGCTGACGAGTGCACCAGACGCTGTTCTCGGCCGGACCGTAGCAGTTCTGGATCTTGAGGTTGGGCAGGTTGAGCGTGGCAAAGGAGTCACGCAGGGTAGCGTTCCAGCCCTCACCACCAACGTTGGCACGGCGCCAGCTCGTGGCCTTCGACAGGGTGGGAGCGGCATAGTTGATCCAGTTGGAATACTCGGACGGGGTAGCCATGGTGTAGGTGATCTGGTTGTTGGCGATGAGCTCAGCCATGGCTTGGGGGTCGGAGCGCTGGGCCTGGGAAGCGACGTAGAGGTTGCCACCGTTCACGAGAGAGGTAAAGATCTGGTCAAGAGAGATGTCGAAACTGTAGGCACTCTGCTGAACGCAGTTGGGGCGGCCGAGGTTCCAGATCTGGCTGTCACCCTCGAAGAGGTTGAGCAAGCTCTGGTGGCGAACCTCGATACCCTTGGGGACTCCGGTAGAACCACTGCTAGAGACGATGATGGCAGACGAATCGCCCTTGGACAAGTTTGGACGGCGAGCGGGAGAGTCGTTGGCCTTGCGGACTTGGTCAACGTTGATGGTGCTGGCGCCAGCAGGGAGAGCGAGCCGGGCGACATCAAAGACAGTGGAGCTGTCACACAGCACGGAGCTGGGCTCGACAACACTGCAAGTGGCCGCCAGACGGGGCAGGCCATTGCGGGGGTCAAGAGGCACGTAGACGGCACCGCTGCGCCAGATGGCGAGCAAGGAGCAGATCCACATGGCCGAGGGCTGTTGGAACACACCGACCTTGTCACCGGGCTGAATGTTAGTCTGGACGAGCTCCTCGGAGACCTGGTCGATGATGCGGTCCATGGCTTTGTAGGTCATGGAGTCGCCGAGGCCGTCGCGCAGGGCAATATCGTTGGAAAACTGGGCAGAGACTTGGTCGACCTTGAGGGACAGGGTCTCGGGCCACTCGCTGTCAAACTGGGGGCCTACACAAAGAGTTAGACAAAACAGTTAATCGGGGCTCGGTAGCAGTAGTAGTAGGAATAGGGGTTGTTTCATCTGATACTTACCACGTCCAGCCTCAATGGCAGCCGTGACATGCTCCTCCCGGTAGAGGGGAGCGGAGGCGATGGGGCCGGCGGGACCATTGGCACAGTGGTGCAGCAGATGCATGTAGCTGTCCATCATGGCCTGAGTGTGGCGGCCATTGTACAGCGACTTCTGCGTCTGCCACTTGATGGTGATGTCGGAGGCGGCGTCGTCAGTGACGTCCAGAACGACGTCGTAGGCGGTGGCACCGAAGTTGCTCTCACCCTCGGTCTGGGACTCGAGCATGGGAGGCGTCTTCAGAGAGAGCTGACGGTAGTCGAGGAAGGCCTGGAACATAGGGCTGTGGGAGGAGGAGCGAGGCACCTCGAGCTCCTGCAGCAGCAGGTCAAAGGGCAGAGCGGAGTGGTTGAGAGCAGAGTATGAGGTCTGCTTGGCGGTGTTGAGGAGGGAGGAGAAGGTCTCCTTGCCTGTGAGGCCGCCGAAGCGGAGAGGGATCAGGTTTAGCAAGAAACCTACGGTAGCCAGGGTCTTAATGTCCTTGCGGTTGGCGTCGGCGATACCAATGCACAGGTCGTCAATCTCGAGCCAGCGGGTGAGGAAGAGTCGGAAGGTGGCGAGGAAGAAGTGGAAAGTGGTGCAGCGGTTTTGACGGCAGAGGGAGCGGATCTTCTGCGCAATCGCCGAGTCGAGCACCATCTCGACCTCCTCGTGCTCGTACTTGGTCTGTGGGAGACGAGCACCGACGCCAGGGAAGGGGAAGAGAGGGAGAGGGTCGGGCAGCGTGGTGTAGATCTTCTTCCAGAAGACAATGTCGTCCTGCAGGCGACCACTCTCAATGTCCTTGCGCTGCTGGATGGCCAGGTCGGTGAACTGCGAGGCAATCT